ACTCCCCCTCCATCCACCGAGCAAAGGAAGAAATTCTGAAGAAATTCTCTCTCCTCATCCAGTGTCACCAGGCTTGTTATCCTTCCCCCTAAATGGCTCCCTGTGCTCACCCCTTCCATCTCTGCTGCCACTGTCTCAGCCTGGGCCACTGTCCCCTCTCTCTCTGCATCCTCACCAGTCTTCCAGCTCCCACTCCCAAAACCCTTTAAAGGCTTCTCACTGGCCTTAGAATAAAATCCAAACTCTGTAAAATGGCTTACCAGACCCCATGCTCTCTGCCTTCCCCACTCACCAACCAGTCTCTCTGCAAATCCACCAACTCCTAGATCCAATCAGACTTTCTGTTCTTCTAACACCCCTCTTACCTTCCTTAAGACCTCACCTGAGGCTGGCTATGCCCAGGACATTGCCCTTCTCTCAGCCCCCTCACCCTTTCCCCTACTCATATCTCTCTCTGGGTTAGGCCCCTGCTCAGTGCTCTCACAACTCCTTGTATTTTTCAAATCAAGAAACAGGTAATTTTTTATTACTGTTGCTTAATATTCAGAGTCCTACACTAAGTGTGAATTGGGGGCAGGCAGGATTTGCCACAGTATTTGCAGTACCCAAGATGATGCCTAAGACACAGCAAGTGCCTTATGAGTGATTGTTCAATGAGCCAAGAGGTAAGGGCTGGCCCAAAGCCTCTCTTCAGGGGTGGTTGAGGGTGAGGGTGAGGCCAACTTCTGCAGCAGGTCAGCCACATACTCTGTCTCTGAATCCCCAGTGACATCTCAACAGGCAAGGTGGGTGTTTGTCTGCCTCCTGTAGAAAGCAGTCAACACTGCTCGGCAGCTCAGCTAAGTTGTAAATGTGGTCTCAGAGTCCTGTGGATGGTCAGGAGGTCAGCAGTAGCAGCAGAGGGGACCCTAGGGTCATCCAGGTGCCCCAAATGCTGGCTGGGCAATTGGCCGACTGCCCCTTTGGTACTCAGCCTAGGCCAGGCCGCCATCAGGATTCGCTAGGCCCAGCAAGTCCTCTGCCAGGCTGGTGAGCTCATTTTCCTCCAACGCCTCCACCAGGCGCTGCAGCGTGGCGCGGCGGCCCTCCGCCTGCACAAAGCGCCGCAGAAGCTGGAAGGCCTGCTCATACAGCCCCTCGCGTTCATACTCATAGGCCAGGGCTTCGAGCGCCGGGTCCCGCAGCGCACGACAACTACGCTGCAGGGAGCGCCCCACCTTGCGCCATTTGAGGCCCACGGAGCGCGCGAACATCTGTTGGTCCTGAAGGTTTAGCGGCCGGTTCACTGTGGGCGGAGTGGGAAGCAGAGTGAACTCAGGAAGCCCCAGAGCCGGGACCCTTCCAAACCCGCCCCACGATTTCCCGGCCCAGACCTCTCTCCTCCCCCAACTCCATCACCCCGGTGACTCCGCCTCTCCGCACAAGCCTCACCTACGGGCTGACCCTGGAATAGAAAAGTCTGGCCAGGTGGCGGCGGCAGTGGCTTCTCCTCCGACAGAGAGGGGGCCAGGGAGTTCGAAGGGGTTGGAGCGACCTCCACGTCTCCACCCTGGCCCCCCGGACCACACGTCAGATTCCGGAGCGCAGCCTCCAACTCAGCGAGTTCCTCGTCCCGGAGCCGGTCGGGCTAGGGAGGGGAGTGCGGCGTCGGTGGAGGTCTTAGCCGCGGATCCCCGCCCCACCCAGCCCTGGCCCCAGCCCGGCCGCACTTTATGAGCGAAGATGCAACTCAAACAGCGCTCTTCATCCATCAGCAAGTCATCCAGCAGCTCCGCACCGGCGCGCAGCTCCAGTTGCAACTGCACCGAGCGCAGAGCCAGCGCCGCAGCCAAGCCGACTTCCAGCGAAGTGCGCAGCGCCCCCTCGCGGTAGGCGTGGATGAAGCGGCTGCAGGGCTGGCGCCCGCAGAAACGCAACTGCAGGATCAACTGCCGATCGCTGCGGTGGATCTTGAGCATCTGCAGCACGTCCGGGCTCCCGCTCTCTGCGGAGGCGGGCAGTCAGGCTCCAGATGGTCCCCATGCGGGGCCATTCTCCAAACGGCCGGGGAAGGAGTGAAGCCCACGGTCAGACCTGAAGCCATGGGGATTATCCCCAGAGCTCTCAGCAGGGAAAATCGGTATGCGAATAGCAACAACTCAGAATAGAGGCCAGGACCTATTGCAGGGCACATCCTAAGATGGAGTGGGTGCCACCATAGCCCCACCCCCGGAGCCCCAAATTAAGGTGGGAAAAAGGGGCGTTGGGGAGAAACTTTGCAGCACCGAGTGGGACATATGCCCTGGGCAGCCAAGCTCTCTGAGTAGGCGGCTGGTGAGACTGGGGAGAATGAGAGGTCTCAGATCTTTGGCCTCCACAAAGTGTGGCTCTGGCTACCCTGGAAAGAGAAGGACTCTGGGTCCAGGGCGCGATCCCCCAATTGGCATCAGCCTCCTGTTGCCTCTGCCCTGACATGGGAAAAGGAGACCTGAAAGGTAGGTACTGGAAAGGGGTCTTGGGCAAGGAGTGCTGCAGTAAGAGAGGAAAAGAGGAGAAAAATGTGCAATTAGTAGAAAGCAGTGAGCCAACTGGTCTGGGGCATGGGGATCATCGAGCAGGAGAATGTTAGTGCACACATAGGTAGATCATACACAGACCCGGGAACACATGTCTACATCCAAGAGCACACACGCGAAACAGAGAAGACAGTTTATGAAACCGGTGGTGAACCTCCTCTTCCCCACCCTCATCAATTTTCCATAACACAGTGGTTAAGTACAGGCCCATAGTGTTGAAGAAGTAGGGCTGGCCCAGAAAAGTTACCCAGGCCATCCCTTCCTCTCCAAGTGCCCGCCCAACCACGCACCTGCCAATGCAGTCCGCAGAGCCCTGTACACCGCCATCTTCTGCTGGGGGTGAGCGTAGGCATCCGACAGGACCACCTTGTCCAAAGAGGGCTCCACAAACAAGTATGCACTGCCTACCCATTCTTCGGGCCCATTTGGCCCAGCCGCCATCTTGCCTCCTGGAGATGCAGATAGGCATCCTGATTACCTCAAACCCAGCCCCGGAAACACATCCAGCCCCACATGGTCCAGCTGTCCCTTCTTCAGCTGGTACTCAGCTGTCCACTCAGCCTGCACACTTGTGAGGGGAAGTTGATCATCCCACAGACAGCCGCTTGTGTGTCTGGCTCTGCACAGCCCAGCCCAGCCCAGCTCAGCCCAAAATTGTAGTGAGGAACCCAGGGTCATAGTGTTGGGAGAAGGCGGTACTGTCCTGTAGTAGAAGCAGAGAGAAGTTGTGCCCCCTGCGTAGGTCAGGTGTCTCTTACCAAAGCTGACAAAAGACATCTTCATCCTGAATGGTGCCCATGCCCCACAGCCAACTAGACCCATGTCCTGGTATGTCCTCAGCTTAAACTTGAGCCCCCAGGATCCCTATGGGACTACAGCCCTCCCTCCTCATAGCAGTTTTCTCACCTGGATTCCTACCCTACATCCTGGCTTTTCACTTCAAAGGACACCTGTAGTTTGCACCTGCCCAGCTTCTCTCTCCCTGACTGACATTTAGGGCCTTCCCTCTACCCTATTCTCAATCCACGTGCCTCTTGGGATAACTAAGCCCTACTCCTAGCTCCAGGTGTGGGCATATGAAACAGGTCCCGCTAATCTACATATTCCATTCACCTTTCTGCAGTCAAATGCTCTGCCACTGAACTATACCTCCTCCATTCACCTTTCTGAAATGATTAGTTTAGAGTTGGGTAGATTCAAGTTGGACAAATTAGAATCAACCTGCAACTTTGGCTGGACCAATAGGGAAGAGGAACTAGTTTTCCTACCCTTGGGGGGTGAGCTGAAAAGAAGGGTAGGTCTTTATTGCCACTGCTTAGGAAGAGCCTGGCTGAGAATGAAACTGAAACAGAAGGAAACAAGGCCCAGAGATGAAGAGGTGCTCCTAACCACACTATGCCCCTGGCTCTAGCTGCACCCTGGACTTTTCAGTTATGTGAGCTAAATTATTCCTTTTCTTTCTAAAGTCTTTGGAGCTGGACTCTTGTCTTATGAAACTCAATGTTCTATTACAGATTCCTTCCCTGTCCAGAGCCAGTCAGGACCCCTTGGCACTAGTATCTCCCCCATCTATCTTCTGACGTTCCTAGCAAGGGGGCAAAATTCCCAGCCAGGGAACCACTGCACTGACCCTCAGTCCAGTGGCCTCCCATGAGGCAGCAAGTGGGGAACTGCCCTTCCTCTTCCTCCCCACCTCATCTGAGGCAACATCTCACCCTTTCGCAGAAACATGGGTTCAAGACCCCACCTTCTGCCCCATCAGCCACACTTCTTTACTCTCTGGTCTTTGGCATTTACTTTTGGGCTAGGAGGGGTGCTGAGCCCCAGCTGTGAGCACCCTGTACATCACTGCTCTGGGAACGACAGGCTGGGGCAGCCACAGCTGGCACCTATTTACATGAGGGACAGGGAATCTCAGGGGAGGGATGCCAGAAGGAGCCAGGACCATAGCCTCGAATATTTTAGGGGAGGTAGTGGGGATCCTGAACTCAAAGCAGAGGCTGTGTTTTAGATCTGTCCCCAGACCCTAACCAGAGAGCCAAAGCTGGAACAATAATTGGGCAAGGGCCTTCCAGCATCATCCAGACCTGACAAAAGGAATGATAACCTGTGACGGTCCTACCCTGAACACAGGGGACATGTCTCCTCTCACCACCCCCCACCAATAACTTTTTGGTAGAAAACATTAATACTTGTGTATTTACCCAAAACAATAGTCTATGGGGGTAGGAGGAGATTGGGGGGATTTTAACTTTCATTGTATTTAACATATCCTACTTTATGTAAAATAGACACATTTCCTTTCTTTAAAAAGGCAAACTGTTTTTCTTAAAAAACAAAAACAAAACAAAAATGGGGTGAGACTATGTAGGTGACAAGTAAAACCAAGAGTGGTAGGGAAACAAGTGTGGAGCCCTGGGGGAATGGTTTAGGGGGTAGAAAAGTGTAGAACCCTGCCCTGGAAACGTTTCCTCTATCATGTCTTCTTAGCCCGCTTGCTTGAGGGTGCTGACCCGATGGATGTAGTCCCGTGGCAAGGGATGGAAATGGGGGCGGGAGGGGGCAGAGTCTGGCCAGCACGCCTGTCAGGAGGCACTGAAAACCTGGAGGAGGGGGAATGCTCCATCATACTCACTAGGACTGGGCAAGTGGGAGAAGTCAAACACGTCTGCTGGAGCCCTTGACTCCCATCATCTCTTTAGGAACTTCTTTCTATATGTCTTTCCACAGAAGCCTCTCCTCGGGAAGCGCGGCGCCTCACCCACCCAGAGACCGCCTCCTGGAGACGCTTAGATGGGCTGGGGCTGAGGGACACGTGGGTGCCAACCCAAAAAATACCAGCAGAGGCCAGCGCCCCATTAATACAACCCAACAGTCCCCAGGCAGCCCCACCTTTGGCCCAGTGGGCTGCCACGGCTTGCGGGCGTGGGCCCTAGAAGACTGAAAGCCTGCGACTCCCAGCATTCTGGCAGGCGCGTACCCCACTGAGCTGCGCTTCCAAGCTCTTGAGGGGAGCTCCCCAGCCTCCCACTAGCCCACCCTCACGCTGGTGTTTCGCACGCGCAACTGACTGGGGTGGGCAAAAGGCCTCTGCTCACAGATTTATTCAGAGACAGGCCCGCCCTCTCACCCGCGGAGCTCTGCGGCCTCTCGAAAGCTCTTAGATGGGACAAGGAACCTGCGGGGGCCAAGGTACGTACCCTCTCTCCGGCCTTCCACGGAAACAGCCCAATAGGCCGCCGCCACCACTTGGCCTGGGCAGCCGCAGATGACAACCGCGCCGCGCCTATGCTCCTGAACCGCGATCCACCTCTGCTCCCGCCAGCACCGAGAAGCCTACCCACCGTCTGCACTAACTTGGCCTCCGCGGCCCGGCCCGATTCCCACGCCCGCCGGGCTCCAAAGGACTCTCGCTGCTTCCGGGTGTGCGCGGAGCGCAGGGGCGGCGCCCCAGCCCGAGCCTCCCCGTCCGCCCCGGCGTCCCGCCCCTCAGGCTCCGCGCCGCTCCTTCCCGCCCGCTCTCCTCCACCGCGAGTCCCCAGCCTCTGCGCAAAGCCCACCTGGTCCGCTGAGCAGGTAAGACACTGGCACCCGAGGCTAGACGGCAGGAAAATCTGCTCGCGGCAAGGGACTTCAGGAAAGTGAGGCTCTCACGAGGCCGTAGGTCTCCAGGGTGAGAGCTGCCCCGCTTCTTCTGCAGGCAGGAAACAGACGGACCGACAAGGGAGAGTCTCCTAGGGACCAGAATTTTCTGATGCCTTCTGGGGGGGGGGTCGAGCTCGATGATCTTTGATCTCCGCAACTCTGACACTCAGAATGGGATGCTGTTGGGTTCCAGGTTCAAGCCTGATCTAGGATATCTAAAGCCCCAGGATACACGCACAAATTACAGCAGAGACTGTTAGCCTGGAAAATATGAGAAAACAGAAAATTGGCAAGTGGTGTGAAACGTTATGTACTAAAATCTTCAAGCACCTTAAAATAAGATCGGCAACTTCAAAGAGGACGCACACTTTCCGACGCCTGCCCCCCGAAAGGCGGCGCTCGGGTGTGGGTCTTCGGAATTCCAGCTGAGTCTAAACCGTCCAGCCGGCGCCTGGGCTTCTTGGGGGTCAGGATCGCAACTTGAATTCAGTGCTCCTCGGGCTCCAGAGCTCCAAGCTTTTCTGCCACCGGCATTTCAAGGGAAACACCCGAGACGTCCTTCCCCCGACCCCGAGAAGTGGAGGAAGGGATGGAACCAACCCAGTTAGGGCGGATTCGGCGGTGCCCCACCCGCGGCCCCGCTTCCTGATTGGTTCGTGACCCCTGCCAATTAAAACTCTCTAATGCTCTCACTCTATTAACCCTATCGTCACTCTCTAGTGACTGGCAGGGCTAGGACCGGGTTTCTCAACTTGGGACTAGTGCAGTCAAACGGCGCTTGTTGAAATTCAGATTTTCAGGCCACACTCCTTCTAGAGAGCCTGATTTAGTAGGTGGGCCAGTGGAATTTGTATTGCGAACAAGTGTCGGAGTGATTCTGCAGCTCCGCGCTGTCTGAGAAGCCTTCATTTCAGTGGTCCTACAGATGGGGCTTGGGCCCAGGTCTTCCTTGTACTCAGGGTGGAAGTTGGAAGGGAAGCAGTTCAGTGACACTTTTAATATTAGTCTGGGCAGCTCTGAGGGTGTGTATAGGGAGGCGGGGGAGGCAAGGTGGGCTCTCTGAGCCGGGGGCGGGGCCTGTGCAACCACCCTCCAACTTCTCCAGGGAAGACTTTAGTAACTAGGAGTAATATCCGATAACATCGTCCAAAATCAGGGTATTCGGCTTTATCAACTTTGCGCATAGGTCTTGGTTGCGTTCTTTCTAATACTGCATAAAATGGGGATATTTTTCAACAAGTGATAACGTAGTTTAAAGGAGAATCTTTCAGCATCCAGGGTTGACTTCGCATAGGGCCCCATGCTTGGTTTAATAACTTGGTTAAACACTATACTGTCATTGACTTGAAATTCTGAATAATATTTTTAACAAAGAGCACCGCGTTTTCATTTCGCACCAGGCTCCACAAATTATTAGCAGCTCCTGGTCCACAGCATTTCTACACATAGGCTCCGACGTTCTCAACACTCTGGTCTTCCTGAGCCCAGGGATATCCCTCTCTCTCCAGGCGGGAGCTGCTGGGAGCATCGGAGCCCCCACGCGGCAATGGTCCACCCTGCAGAACTACCTGAGGAGGTGCTGGCACACATCTTTCGCCACCTACCCTTGCGTGACCGTGCTGCTGCAGCCAGGGTTTGCAGAGCCTGGGCTGCTGCTGCCACCTGCAGCTCCGTGTGGCACAACACGAACATCAGGTGAGCTGGCTTCACTCCTTCCTCCTGCCACCCTCCCGCCTTCTCCCTCTCTCCGTGGAGTCAGGGGTTGGGGAGATTCAATGACTCTTATAAAAAGCATATTAAAAAGCATAATCATTACTAACATTTCTTGATCGCCTACTGTGTAGCAACCATTGCTGTAGGTGCCTTATATAAATTAATAGGTAATATTATCTCCATCGCACAGATAGGAAATTGAGGCAGAGATATCTGACCACTTTTTGCAGGTCACTCAGCTAAGGAATGGCAGAGGCAGAATGTGAACTTGGCCATGCACCGCCTCATTAGAGACCATTGAGAAAGCCCGGCTTCTAAATATCATTGGCTCTCCCTGCCAGGGTTTCAACTTGTTGCAGAGGCATCTGAAGTTTTCTATTTAAAGGGATAGAGTGGGAGTTCCCTCCTAGCATTAGCGGCTACCTTGGAGCAACCAAGGCATGGTCGGGACAGGGAGTTGTGTTGGTAGGGGGCATAAAGAGGAGATGGTATCTGGCACCCAGGCTGAGGTGCCAGATGCCTTTTCTCCACCGCTCAAACCTCAAGTTGCGACTTTGAGCAAGAAGACATGCTGCTACCATATCTATCCGCCTGCCTGGACCACGTTCACAACCTACGGCTGGAATTTGAGCCGTCGAAGGAGTCAAGCCGCCGGGCAGCCACGGAGTTGTTGATCGCACTGGCGGGCCGTTCCCCAGGGCTTCGAGGCCTGCGCTTGGAGTGCCGTGGAGAGAAGCCATTCTTCGATGCGGGCTGGGACGTCCTGGACGCAGTGCACGGCATCTGCCAGGCTGCCCATGCACTGCATCACCTTGACCTGCGGCGATTGCCCTTCACGCTGGATGACGCGCTAGTGCTGCAGGCGGCACGTGGCTGCCCTGAGCTCCGCAGCCTTTTCCTAAACAACGGTACGCTGGTGGGCAGCGTAGGGCCGGGCTCGGTGCTCTACCTACTAGAAGCCTGCCCACGTCTGAGCGTCCTGGGCCTGCACCTGGCCAGCCTGTCGCGCACGGCCCTCGAGGCGCTGGCGGCGTCGGACCGCGCTCCTTTCAAGCTCCTGGCCCTGCGATGCGCGTGCCCAGAGGACATACGTGCACCCCCATTGCCGAACGAAGCCTGGGAGGCGTTGCGCCGCCGCCACCCTGGACTGGCCGTGGAGCTGGAGCTGGAACCGGCACTGCCGGCCGAGAACGTGACACGTATCCTGCAGTCTGCTGTGCCCGTGGCTACGCTGCGCCTCTGCATCTCTGGGGACACTGTAGGTCCCGTGCGCTTCGCAGCGCTGCATTACGCCGCAACGTTGCGCGTGCTCGAGGTGCGCGCCGCCGCCTCCGCCGACCTGGATGCCGCACTGGAGTTGTTGGCGGCGCGCTGCACCGGCCTGCGCGAAGTGCACTGCTTCTGCGTAGTGCGACCCTCCGTCCTGCAAGCCTTCCTCGCTCAGTGCCCGCGCTTGCGCAGCTACACGCTCAAACTAACACGGGAGCCGCATCCCTGGCGGCCCATGCTTGTGGCGTGATGGGGCTAACGTGCCACCCCTCCCCAGCAGACGGGTGACCTCTGAGATTTTGGGTGGGTTTGCCGACGCACACGCCAACTGCTAATCCGTTCCTTCAGAACTCTGTTGCCCCTTGTACCTCTCGGAGATTGGGGGCGCCCTGAGTCCGCTCTGTGCTCTCAACATCTGCAGACGCCCGCTGCCCGGTACTGGGATCACCGTCCTTCAGCCTACCCACTCTGCAAACACTGTTAACTCCGCGGCCCCGGCGTGGGGTGGGAGGGGAGGGCACAGGTGCAGGCTAGGCCTCAGGGGTGAGTGTGAAATAAATCCTGTAGTATCTCTCCTAATTGTGAAAGACCCTATCGGCTCTGGAGAGGGAGGGCGGAGGCGGGAAGAGCCGTCTGGGCAGGGATGTAAGAGATGGAGACCTCGAGATCTGGTGCACTGATGCGGCTACGGGAGTCGGGGGCGGGGCACTGCGCATCCTTGGAATGACGACGCCCTAGGGTTCGGAGGGAGGGTGTCCGCTTCTCCTCAGCCCCCTTCCTTCCCTGCTCCTCTCTGCTGGCTCTAGCCCAGACTTCATTGTGCCCACGGCTTTCTCAGCCCACACCAGGACTTTCTCAGCCCACACCAGGCCGCGCACGGGCTGTTTCTCCCGAAGAACCACGTGGGAAACAGTGGGCCTGAGAAGGATGGAATTCGAACTCAGGTCTCGCTCCCCACTGCACTCCTTCACAAACATCCGATCCCAGCCTGCCCTTTCGGTCTGGTGGTGCTGCGGCCGGGATTTGAGCCCCGCCCCGCGGGTTCGCACGTGGCCCCCACCTGACCCCGCGCGCGGAGAGGCGGAGTAGCGCGGGGCGGGTGGCAAACACAGCACTTTCTGCGGCTTTGACAAGCCCGCGGCGGCGGGGCGGAGCGCTTAGCCGGGCCGAGACTGCGCCATGCAGGAAGCGCCAGCCGCGCTGCCCACGGAGCCGGGCCCCAGCCCCGTGCCTGCCTTCCTCGGCAAGCTGTGGGCGCTGGTGGGCGACCCTGGCACCGACCACCTGATCCGCTGGAGCCCGGTGAGGGCTGGGGCCCTTCGATTCCCCCAGTGGTACCCGGGATCTCTTCAAGTCAGTGAACATCCACGCCCACCCAACCCCCTTCCGGGACTGGGCTGTGGGTCCCTCGATTCAACCGTCCAGGATAGTTTATCTTGAAGGGGGTGTGTGAGATAGAGGTTAGGCGACTTCCTCCGGGCAGAGGAAAGGATAGGAGCCTTCTGGAGACCCAGAGCCTAGACTTGGAGGGATCTTTGTTGTTATTTAGTTCCCACTCCCACCCCATCAGACAGATCGGAAAACAGAGACCAGAAGAGAAGGGCTGGGTCTGATTCTAGCTCAGGTTACGCGGGTCTGGGACTCATTCCAGGCTGGAACCCAGATCTGACCTATGCTCCTCCTTTCCGAGAACGGAGCACGGAGTCTGAGTCGGGCTGGTCGCCCCAGGCTAGGGATCAGAGCTGGTTCTAGTCTGGCCTCCTCTCATGTCCCCATGAGCGACGGGCTGGGTCCCCAGAGTGAGTGCGAGTGTGTGTGTGCGCTCTCCAGAGCGCGGGCCGGGCGGTGGGCGGGCACCTCTCACGGTGTTGTCCGGCCTCCGCCTGCACCGTGGGTGGGAGGGCGGCGTTCTCGGCAGAGCGGGACCAGTTTCCTCGTAAGCGACCAGAGCCGCTTCGCCAAGGAAGTGCTACCCCAGTACTTTAAGCACAGCAACATGGCAAGCTTTGTGAGGCAACTCAACATGTGTGAGTCCCTAGGGCTGGGCGGAAAGCCAGGGTGGGTGACTTGGTGTTCTGGGATGGGGAAATTTAACACCCCCTCCTGCCCCAACTCCCTAGACGGTTTTCGGAAGGTGGTGAGCATTGAGCAGGGCGGCCTGCTCAGGCCTGAGCGCGACCACGTCGAGTTCCAGCACCCGAGCTTCGTGCGCGGCCGCGAGCAACTACTGGAACGCGTGCGGCGCAAGGTGGAGTAGCTTGTGGGAACCAGCAAACTCGGGAGGGGAGGTGTTGGGACGGCTGGTCCTGTTCTATGAGACTCAGGCCCGACGGTGTTTCCCACTTGCAGGTGCCTGCGCTGCGCAGCGACGACGGCCGCTGGCGCCCCGAGGACCTGGGCCGGCTGCTGGGCGAGGTGCAGGCTTTGCGGGGAGTGCAGGAGAGCACCGAGGCGCGGCTGCGGGAACTCAGGCAGTGCGGGGGAGGGGGCGGAGGAGGGTGGGGAGGAGGGGGGCTTTGGGCGAGAGGACACTGGCTGCCAGGCGGTTCCAGGCGGCTCCTTCCTCTCTCAAGCCTTGAGGCTTCCATCCTGACTAATGGGCTGAGCTGTGGAATTCTCTTCTCTAAGGATGGATGATCATCCCAGTAGTCTTGGGTTGAGGTCTGCCATTCTGTGGGGGGTGGTGACCGGGAGAACTCTCAGATGCCTCAGCACCCTCCCACACCTTCCCCCAGGCAGAACGAGATCTTATGGAGGGAGGTGGTGACGCTGCGGCAGAGCCATGGTCAGCAGCACCGGGTCATCAGCAAGGTGTTCCTCTCCCTACACCCCACTTTCTCCACTCCTGAACACCCCCTTTCCCAGTTCTCTAGTCCACCTGGAAGACGAGGTCCAAAGGATGAATTAACCCTTTGCTTCCTCTTCAGCTGATCCAGTGCCTCTTTGGGCCACTTCAGGCGGGGTCGAGCAGCACAGGAGCTAAGAGAAAGCTGTGAGTGAGAAAGCCAGGGATACTCACCCACCCTACCCAGCCTTTCAGCACCCTTCCTGCTGGAGGCACCATACAGGGACTCCTCTTTCAGAAACTCCTTCATCAAGAATCTTCATTCTTTCCCTCTGTACCAGTCTTCCTCGTCGCATGGCCATCTCCCCAAGAATCCCCTTCCAGGACTTTTTCCCTCTTCTCCCAACTTCATCAAAACTCTCGCTCTCAGATCCCTCAGTTACAGAACTCTATCCCCAAATTTCCACCCCAGCAGCCCCTACCCCCTGACCCCAAAGCATCCCTATATCAGAGGGTCTGGGATTCAAACCATGCTCCCTCCCTCCTCTCTCTACCCCCAAAGGGCCCCCATCTCTGGGGGGGAGCCCCTTCTGCCTCCAGCATGTGACTGATGCCCTGGCAACAGGCCTCAGCTCTGCTGACTTGGCTGCTGGGGCCTGTGGGAGGGAGGTGGTGCAGGCTGAGGGGCATGGGAGATGAACCTGCCCAGCCCCCTGCTGTGCCCCTCCACCTTGCACAGATCCCTTATGCTGGATGAGGGGAGCTCATGCCCAACACCGGCCAAATTCAGTGCCTGCGCCCTACCTGGTGCCCTCCTGCAGGACCCCTACTTTATCCAGTCGGTAGGTTTTGCTTCTCTTCCCATCCCTAGGGCACTGCTGGGCTTATCGAGAGCCTATTCCTTTTCCCCATTCCCCCCAAAGAAGAGAAGATGGAGGCCAGGCTTACCCTCCACCCCCACCCCCTCCACCCCCACCACACACATACACCAGACCAGACTCCCTAGCACGAACTGCAAACCTTCCCCCTTAGACCTGGTCCATGCAGGCACTGGTTGGATTCTGGCTTACCTTGTGGCTTCAGGTAAAGGACTGGGCCTACCTATTCTACTTACAGCCCCTCCCAGAGACCACCTTGGGCCTCAGCAGTCCTCACAGGGCCAGGGGCCCCATAATCTCTGACATTCCAGAAGACTCTTCATCCCCTGAAGGGACGAGGCTTTCTCCCTCCAGTGGTGGCAGGAGGTAAGGGAAACAGACAGGGGCTGCACTCTGGGGAGCCTGTGGGGGAGGGCCTGGCAGCCCAGATGGCTGTGTGGGTAGGGGAGAGGTCAGTGCCAGGGTCTGGTTGAAGCTTTTCTCTGGTGCAGGGAGAAGGGCCTGGCACTGCTCAAAGAAGAGCCGGCCAGCCCAGGGGGGGAAGGCGAGGCTGGGCTGGCCTTGGCCCCAAACGAGTGTGACTTCTGCGTGACAGCCCCCCCACCGCTGCCTGTGGCTGTGGTGCAGGCCATCCTGGAAGGGAAAGGGAGCTTCAGCCCTGAGGGGCCACAGCCTGAACCAAGAGGTCCCAGGGAGGTACCTGACAGGTGAGCAGAGACTCTTGACTCTTGACTCTTAGCCCTGTGGGCCACTTTTGCAGTTAGACTAGCACTAACTAGGCCCCTGAAACTTCAGCCTTGTCTGCCCACTTGATGGCTGAGGGGAATGTTGGGCACCATAATCTGACCTGATTTCTCAGAGTTGCTTTAAGGAGTACCAGCATCAGAGGTCCTGGAAAGTGGAAACATCTCTGTGGTAGGGCTCAGTTCATTGGGGTGGTTGTAAAGACTGTAAAGTACACAACAGTTTAAGAAGCACTGGTATTGAAAATTGTATAGGGAAGGGACACATCCCAAGACTCCATCTCCATAACCCGAACTTCAGCCAAAAGTAGGAGGTGGAGGCACTCTTATGTGCCCATCTATGTGTGTGTGCATGGAGGGGGGGAGCCTTCTAGCATTTTCTAGATATTGTCAGATTTAGATCCTGATGTATCCAGGTTCCTTAGGAACCTAATTGGGGGATGGGGGTGGTGTGCTAGAGGCCAACAGCAGTTCTCTGTGCACAGGGGGCCTCTGGGCCTGGAGAGGGGGGGCCGGAGCCCAGAGAGTCTGCTGCCTCCAATGCTACTTCGGGCCCTCCCTGAAAGTGTGGAGCCTGCAGGGTCCCTGGATGTGAGTACACCTTCAGCAGGGCAGAGGCATGGGGCTTGGTGGGGTCCAGCTGTTTGCGCAGCCTAGGGAAGGCACCATTGACCTGGAGCTCCCCACAGGTGCTGGGCCCCAGCCTCCAAGGAAGGGAATGGACCCTGATGGACTTGGACATGGAGCTGTCCCTGGTAAGATAAGGGTGGGGAGGGCAGGGCATTAGGGGGTTAGGAGTTGCTGAGGCAAGCCCTTTGGTCCATGGCTGTTCTCTCTCAGCCAGTGCCTCAGCTCTCCTCCCCAGCTGCTTCCTGGGGTTCTCCCATGCAGATGCAGCCCTTGGTTCCAGAGAAGGGTGAGACTGAGCTGACAGTCAAAGGGTTAAATTCTCCAAGCCCAGGTAATAGTTGTGGTGACTTGGACCTGGGGGAGACCTTGATTGGACTGAGTTACCATGATTGGATGCGCTGGGTGATCTGTGTTTTGAAGGACGAGTTCAGCTGCCCTGCAGAGAGCTACTTAAGCCACCCATCCCCTCACCACTGGATGAGAGTGGGGAGGTTGAGAATAGATGTTTCTTCCTAACTACTAGAGGGAGGGCAAGGCAGGTGAAGCTTTCCTTTCCCAAAGAAAGGAGAGGAAACTGTTTCTCCCTGCTGAGCACGGTCTCACTCCTCCTAGGGAAGGACTCAGCCCTTGGGGCACCCCTCCTGCTGGACATCCAAGCACCTTTGGGAGGCCCAGCTCTCGGCCTGCCTGGAGCTTTAACCATTTACAGCACCCCTGAGAGTGGAGCCTCCTACCTGGGCCCTGGGGCTGATCCCTCCCCCTGAGACCTTCTTCACTCAGAAGCAGCTTGGCTGAGGGGCTGGCCTGCAGCCCCACACCCTTCCTTCTTGGCTTCCCCGCGCCCCCTGGTGGAGGCTGAGCCAAGATCCTGCTACTCAGCAGCCCCTTTCCATTACGAAGTCCAGCACATAAACCGCATTTTTTTTCTGTGTTTCTGGTCTCTTTTCTCTACCGACCAGGGAGCACAGAAGTCATGGGTGGTGGGTGGTGGTGGGTGACTTTGCATTTGTAGAAGCATCCTGATCCTAGGGCTTTAATGAGGAAACCCTTAGAGAGTGGAGTACTTGGGGAGCCTGCTTCTAGTTCTCCTGCTTAGGCCTGGATTCTCCAGCCCAGATTCAGGGCTGTTGCGTGGCCACTGCAACCTCCGGGAAGTGGAGGCTCTGGGGGGTCACACCCCGCTCCGCAATGCATCGGCTCTATGATCCTCAGTAAGCCGGTCCACTTCTCTGAGCCTTATCTGTGACAGGGAAAGGGGGGTCGACGAGAATCTAGGGATAAAGCGCCTGAGAATTGCCAGGCCAGAGTGGGCGCTGGGTACTAAGGGCCGCAACGCCCGCTTGCTGACTCATCCGGCGCGCCCGGTGTGGGGAGGGAAAGCGAACTACGTGTATGAGCCCAAGCGTTGCGGGGCCTCCAGCAGCCTGCCTCCGTGCAGAGAAGTACTCCCGCTCTCCCCCACCACCTCCCGGTCCCACCCCTTCCCAGTTCCCGGCAGCCCTGGCAGCCCCGCCCTCACCACAGCTGCTGTTCCCACCCCCACCCTGCCCAGCCCTTTCTGCCTTGTCATCTTCTACCCTGGCGAGGCTAGACCCGTGAGTGGGGCCGCCCAGAGCGCACCGGACAGGGAGCCCCACCCCACCCGGCTGGGGGAGGGAAAAGAAACAGATTAGGCAGAATCCGCGCCCCCCACCAACGCTCTCCAAGGAGGTCTGTGAGCCCCGCCCCTCAGCAGGACTCTAACTGTGGGACTCGGTGGAGGGGAGATAAGAGCAGCCTGTGGTCGCACCTGCACAAAGGCTCTCTAACAACAGAGCTGGTGTAGCCAAGTGGGGAGTGGGGCCTAGACCTCCCTCTGAGCCTTGAACCTGGAGCTGCCTGGTACCCCAGGAAGGATCTGGCCTGTGACCCTTGAAGGACTGGCCGCGACATAAGTTCGGTACGGTATTTACTTCTGAGCATTGAGTCTCAGAGGGAGAGCCCAGACCAGCTCTGGGGGATTCTGTGCCCAAGACAGGACAAAGGATAGGAGTTTGGATAATGGGAGGAGGAGGCTAACATAAAAATAACTTGGGGAGGAATGAAGGAGAATGAGGGACCAATTTGACCTGTCCCCTCCCTCTCTGTACCTTTACAAGAGTAGATTTTGTCCCCTCTCATCTTGCACCCGTGATTTGGGGACAATCTTTGGAAGCCTCAGCTGAAGAGGGCAGAAGGTCCGTGTGTACACAGTGCAGTGCTGAGGGTATATACTGTTTATTGGGGTATTAGGAGATGAAATGGAACCAGTCTGCCTATGACACACTCAGGCACTGGGATGGACAAGGGGACATTTGAGTCTCGTAGGATGAGCCCACAGCATGGAGGAAGGAGAAGGATATTCTAGGCTTAGGGAATAGCATATGCAAAAGTTCAGAAGTGCCAGGGGCTTTGTGAGTTCTCCCAGCTCTGAGTGGTGGAGGGAAATGAGGGAAAGCCTGGCTGTCCCAGGGTATGGGAGAGTGGCTAGGCCAGATAATCTGAATTTGCTCTGTTGGGCGGTAGGGAGCAGGGGACAGGTAGTTAGGGCTAACATTCTGCTTGGCAGGAGAACTCATTGTATTTCAGTATGGAATAAGTCAGATTACAGTTCTGCCAGGTGGTCTCTGAGCCTGTCTTCTCATCTGTAAAATGAGGACAATAAATTCTGCCTGGGAGTTGTCAAAATCACCGCGGAGGTGATAAGATAGGAGAGGTACTCAGACTGTCATAGGAGATGAGATGATCATGGTGGGGTTGGGGTGATGCTGACAGAGTCTCAAATGAGAGGTGAAGGAGCAGCATTTGTCGCAGATAGGACATGAATGGAGAGGGAGGGGCAGGGGGTATTCCTAGTCACTGATCAGTGGCCTTGGGGGAAGAGCTGATTCTTCAATATGGCCAGGAGGGGTGAAATGACCAGGGAGGCATAAGATGACACCAGGTAGTAGTTAGAGAGACCTGGGAGGCAGTATGGGGACTATGACCAAATCCATTCTCCTAGACGTACAGCCAGGTAAGGAAATAGAGGAGGGACTCGAAAGGGAGGTGGAGACCAGGAGGGTGCTATGTGGACAAAACCAAGGCAGGAGGAGATGGGATGAGAGAGGGAGTGGTCCGGGCCTGACCTCTTTGCTCTTTAATGCCAGGAGCCTGGCTGCCTGGGTCAGGCCACTCAAGAGGGAATAGGTCATTGTTCTTAGTTGTCAATAAATGGACAAAGTGAATTAATTTCTGCCTTACACCTGCTGTTTGGTAGAGACAGGCTCTCAAAATGGGAGGATCAATGGGGGAAAACAGTAAAAGTTCGGCAAGCATTTGTTGGTAGATTTTATGAGTTGTGCCCTGGGTACTTCAAGGTAAAGCAAGAGATGGCTGTCATTCCCAGGGCAGCAGGGAGACAGTTGGGTCTCAAGTGATGTAAGATCGTGGTCAGAGCTAGGACTCAAGAGAATTCAGGTATCCCTGCTCAGGTATTAGGGAACTAGGAAGGGCCATTTGACTACATTAGAGTTACAACATGGCGGTGGCACTGATGGGGGCAGGGCAGAGTGTGCAGGGGCCAGGCTTCTCCTGGAAAGATGGACCTCAGGGTCAGGATAAGGGGTCTAGATTTCCTCTGGTATGTGAGAGGAGCAAGTGAGGCTCTCAGCACTTTGTGCTCTAGGTGCGGAGGAGATTCAGAGCTGTGTAGGGTCTAGGCTGAAGGTGAAAGGCTAGACTGTGAAAGTGGTGAGGATGATCGAGAATTATTCAGCAGATAGACTGGAAAGGACTTGACTGCAAGCTGGGTGTGGGGCTTTGCTGGTTATGGTGGATAAGCAAGTTTGGGAAAGAAGTTAGTTTGGATAAACTAGGTCTGAACAGATTGTGGAATGTGCAGGCAGCTGGGGCTCAGCAGGGAAGTCCTGGTTGGGGAGAATGGTCATAGAAAGGGTTTGGGGAGAGCAGAGGAGAGGAGTGGAGGGCCACAGCCAATGTTTAGGGATCTAAGGAGAAGCCTGAGGAGAAGATCGGACAGAAACATCCGGAGAGGCAAGAGCACAAGGAGTCCTGTGCTGCGGAGCGGTACTGCTGCTGGGGTCAAGGGTGGGGGAGACCCGGCCCCCCACTACGTCTCTCCCCCACCCTTAGGCAGTCCTCACTATGGGCAATGCGCAGGAAAGGCCGTCAGAGATGATTGACCGCGAACGGAAACGCCTGGTAGAAACGCTGCAGGGGGACTCTGGTCTGCTGCTGGATGCGCTGCTGGCACGGGGAGTGCTCACCGGGCCTGAGTATGAGGCGTTGGACGCGCTGCCCGATGCCGAGCGCAGGGTGCGCCGCCTGCTGCTGCTGGTACAGAGCAAGGGCGAGGCTGCCTGCCAGGAGCTACTGCACTGCGCCCAGCGGACTGCGCGTACGCCGGACCCCGCCTGGGACTGGCAGCATGTCGGCACTGGTGAGCGCACGCTCAAGACGAGGACTAGGTCAGAGTAGGGGGCGTGACAGAGGCGGAGTTCTAATCTCTGCAGACGGGTGTTTGCAAGGGAAACTGCAGAGGGGTAAATTGAGCCTAAGACATTCCCACCTCTGCCCCAGGCTACCGGGAACGCAGCTATGACCCTCCATGCCCTGGTCACCTGACGCCTGAGGCCGGCTCAGGGACCCCATGCCCTGGGCTGCCCAGAGTTTCACACTGTGAGACCGGAGGTCCTGAGGGCTCCGAGGCAGTGCAATTTGGAAGCCTGGAGGAGTCTGAGCCAGAGGTGGGAGCTGAGGCCTATGAAGGGGCTGAGCCAGAGTTGGGACACCAAATGGACCCAGAACCTGAGCCAGAGGCAGAACCAGAACCTGAAATGGAACCAGAGCCGGAGCCCAACCCAGAGCCAGAGTCTGACCCAGAGCCCGAGCCAGACATCGAGGCAGAAGATGAGTCTGAAGGTGTGAGACTGCCCAAACCTGGTGCCAGGTTGGTGGGAGGATGTGGCCCAGGAGGCAGAGGGCAAGCCCCACCTGACTGACCACTTTCCCCCTTCATTTCTAGATTCCTGAATGCCAGAGCACTGACAGGCCACTGCCTGCCCAAGCCGGATAAGACCTGAGATCCTGCCCTGGCAAGGTCGGACGCCACCAAGGCTTGCCTGGCCCAGTATTCGCTGGAAGTGAATAAACTCCAGAGGCTCAGCCTGGGTTTTCTGTGATTCTGACTCTTTGTCCAGAAACTAGGGTGTTGATGTGCGCAGCCCTATGCTCCATAGCTCAGTTCCCAGCCCTATTCACCAATAGCTCAAGTCCATCCCTGAGGGACAAGGGCCTAACCTGGGCCCTTTTACCTTCCTGAACCATTGGAGGCATGTGTAGTCACCAGCCCTACTCCACGGAAACCCTGGGCCTGGCGCAGAGAGCCAGGGAAGGGGGATTTCTCTCCACTTGGGGAGAACTAGTGCTCACAGCCTTGGGAAGTGAGATTAGGAGAAAGAGGAAGGGACCTTGCATAGACAGAAACCACACACCTCATTGTAATTGCTATTTTAATTGTCTGGCTTCTCTCAGGACTAGGAGCTCAGTGAGAGTTCTGACCAGTAACTGGCATACAGAAGGCGCTCTATGCATATTCACTGACTAAATGAATAAGCACTTTCCAGCTGTGTTTCCAAGTTTTACAGATGGGGAAACTAAGGCCAAGAGTGGGAGTGGGACTAGGTTAACCTCACACAGCTGAATCTGAGGTGAAACTGGAAGCAACTACTATTTCTGTACCTCTCCTGGAACAGGAGGGACTCAGGACTTGGGACAACTAGGGGCCTGCCCCTTAGGCTTGGCTGTGGCTGCAGCCAAGCTATGCCATCCTCTATCAGAGACCAGCTGTGTGGGCAAAGACAAGGACAGCAGAGGCCAGAGAAGGGAGTGGGGGCAAGACCAGGTGAGTGCTCAGGCTTGATTTGCAAGGCCTGAAGGACTGTGTGTGTGATGAGAGTGGGGTTAGCAACAGTCAATGCCTTCCAGAGGAGCCCTGTTTCCTCTCACCGAGACTTCAAGAGCTGCTGCCTTCCAGCCCCAGGAAGAGAGCACATAAATAGAGAAGAAATACATGATGAGTGAGAGAGGCAAAATGCTGGAAAGCACATCCCAGCCCAGCTGGGTCTCTAACTACCAGGACCCCTGCCCATTGAGTCTGTGTGAAAGCCAGGACCTCAGGCTCAGGCAATCACCCCAGGAGAAGGGATACCCCCACTAGGACCCAGTGAGAGGTAGACAGCATGAAAGCTGAAGGAGCACCAAGGGGCCAGGTGGGGGAAGGGAGACTAGAGTAGCAGACACCCAAAGCCATCTCATGCAAAAAACAAGTTTCTACTCCCAAACCAACCCCCATTCCCATTCATGCTCACCTTCCCTGCTGCCCCCAGGCTTCTCCTCTGTTAAAAAGATAGAGGCAGGAGGGCAGACTCAGTTTGCCTAACATGCTGCTGGTCCCCAGGCCCCAAGGAACACAAACCTACTAATGTTGCTGCTCCTCCTGAGATGTTCCTGCCCTCCCAGTTCCCCAAGAAACACCCAGGCCATGGAAGCACAGAGCAGCCAGCTTCATGTTCTGGGGGTTGATCTGGAGCCCTCTGTCCAGGGCCTCTGTCGATAGCCTTCAACCAGCATCAGTCAGGAAGCAGGCGCCCCAACTCTGCTTCATCCAGCCGGTTGGTGGCCATGATGTGCTCTAGCTGCTGCTGGTACCTTGCCAGGTCCTGCATGAAGTGGGGCACCCGAGTATTGTCCAGCACCCCATGGGGTCGCAGGTGGTCTACATCCTCATAGGACACCTGCAGGAAGGAAGCTGGGCCTGAAGGGTAGGCAGAGGCACTGGTTTTCAGGAGGCTGATCCCAGCTCTCTACCAGTGGCTCATTGCCCTTTGCTCCTGGAACTCTTCTTTCTCTCCTGATCCGCTCCCAATATTATGCATCCAACTGCCTTCTGAATACCTTCCCCTGGATAGCTCTCAGGCACCTCAGACTCCCCACATTCAACACTGAACTTCTGGGTGCCACCTTATGCCAGCTCCACCCTCCTCATAGTCCCCTAGGTCAGATTCCAGGGAGGGGGCTGGGAATCTGTCACCCTCCCACTCAGGGTGGCCACTGAGTTCAAGGGATTCCACTCTCTGAAGAGCTCTCCAGCTTGCCCCTCCCTTTCCAACTGCATGGCCACTGTCCTGTTAGGCAAGACCACCATTAGTTCTGCAAGAATAATTGGAAAGTCCTCTTACTCTTCCCCCTGCACTCCCTTCCCTAGGCTTCTCTCTCTAATCCACCTCCCATTAGACATCCAGAGGGAGCCTTCTAAAGCAAACATCTGTGCCACTCTGCTTAAAGCTCCTCTGATTCTCCATTGCTTTGGTAAAGTTCACCTTCCTCAGCCTGGCACAAATACCCAATGCCAAGGACTTGGTCCTTGGCTATTTCTCCAACCTCCTTCCCCAGATGCACATGCAGTATCTACATGCGTGCGTGCACACGCACACACACTTGTAGGCTGGGTCAAGCACCTGCCAGACCATCGTGTCACCTCTTGTGTTCACCTACCCTCACCAGAGACAGCTGGCACCCAGTCCTCAGTCGAGCATCCATCAGAGGCTCAGGGAATATTGCGCTTAGGGGAGAACTTGCTGGGACATCTGAAGACCCGTGACCAGCCACTCACCTTCCCCAGCGAGGTCAGCAGCGGAAAATCGATGGTCTGGCGGTGCCGCAAAATGCGCACAATGCCGTCCAGATACACCTGGTCCTTGCTGAAGCAGCCTGTGGGCACCGTAGGGCCGTGAGCCCCTACGCCTGAAGCCACCCCTGTCCCCAGCCACAGCTCCAGGCACGCCCCAGAATAGGCACCCACCAGGCACCGAGGTGTCCATCTGACCACGCTTGGCACGCACGCAGTACTCCCAGCGCACATCAGCGTCCTGCACGTAGCGCGCCAGGTCCTGGAAGAGCTGGCGGAAGGACATGTGCGCGGCGCGGTGGATAGTGTAGTAGAGCAGTGCCGCGCGCCACAGGAAGGGCTGCTTTCGGAACAGCACGCTGTGCAGGCTGGCCAAGCCCTCCTCAGTGGGGTTTGCCGGCCGCAGCCCGTACTGTAGCCGGCCCTCAGCGTTGTGCCAGGGCTGCCGTGCGTTGTTGACACCCCGCAGGTAGTGGGTGCCTGTGGGAGGGCAAAGGGGAGGCGGCACTGGTCGTGGCATCCCGGGACCCACCCTGCCATACCTCTAGCAAGTGACTCACACATTTATCTTCATGCCCCTGGACTCAGACTCTCACACGAGCCCTCTCTGCCACCCTTGCCCCAATCTGTATACTCAGCCAACCCCAGGTAGCATGAAGACCCTCCTAGGATGAACTCTCACCCAAGGACCCACAGTCTCACATGCAAAAATCCTCCCCAATGTGTCTAGGGCCACACACACAAAACTCAAACTCACAATATTCCCCAGCCCCTCTCCACCCCAGAGAGAGGCAGGAACTCACACACCACTTCGCCTGCATCCTGCATGCCCATGTCATTTTAACAGTCACGCTGCTATTCCCAGCAAAAACCACCTTTTACCCAGAGCAACAGGATTCTTGATGAAGAGGGACAGAGCAAATAGTAATTAGTGTCAAGTGCTCTCCTTTCCAGCCTGGCCTTTCCCTTCCTAAACCCAGCTGTGTGTCCTCAGCCAGTTCCATTCCTACACTGGAGGGCCTGCATGTTGGCTGGGCTAGTGGGACCCTCAGCGTTCTCCCTCTGGCTGGTCGGGACCTCAGCAACTTTGTCTCCACTGTCAAGGGAAATTAGAGAGGAAGTGGAGACAAAAAAAAGATACCCAAGAGGAGTGAGAGACAAGGGTGAGTCCAGAGAGTGGGCAGGTATGTCCGGGCCTACCTCTGTGAGCCAGAGGGAGGAGGTGACTACTCACAAAGAGAAAAGGCCCATTATCGAGGGGAAAGTGGAGAAAGAAAGGGGGTGGGGTTACTGGGGTCCCTCACTGCCCCCCACATCCCAGCTCACTGTCAACCCTACCTGCCCACCCGCCTACCCACACACTGACCTATCTCATGCCGCAGCATGCCCTCCAGCCAATACTGGCGGGCTCCAGTCAGGTTGATGGCCAATGTTGGTCGGCTGTTCTCCACCATCATCACTGCCTGGGACAGCAGGTCTTCACTTAGCTGCACCACAACCTGCAGGCAGCAGCAGTGCCCTGAGCCATGACCACTAGCCCTGGGGCCAGTGTGCAGATGGACTCACTAATGCCACAGGGCAGCCAGGCCAGACGGTTGATCAGGATACCTGCCTTTCACCATCTCTGCTAAGAGCCAGCTCCCACCTTACTGGGGCAGGGATAGGGGCTTGCCAGGGAGCACTAGCTGGCCAGGTGTGGAGCTGAGCCTGGCACCACCCACTGGGTGGCCCAGTTTGGGGCATGTAGAAGAGGGGCCTCACAAGCAGGGCAAGCTTACCTCCCCGACGCAGCCTTCTTTCTGCATGTATTTGCGCACAATGGACCAGATCTGGCACTTGGTCAGCAGCTGGCCCCCAGTTGCAGCCTCAAAGTGTTCATAGGTGCCAAACTTCTCCAGGACAGCTTCGATGATGCCAACTGCCTGCACATAGGGCCACAGTGGCTGATCAGGCCAGGCCTCTTGGGTGGTCAGGGCCAGGGTGAGGTGGGCAGGCTGAACTGACCTGATGGATGAACTGTCCAGAGGCCTCACAGTACTTCTCCAGCACAGCCATAGGCATGGGTTCCTGGTACTCAAACTGTGGGTTGTAGGTGTAATGGGACTGGAAGAACTTGTCCCGCTCATGGTCCATGTTAGTTGGCCGCAGGGCCACCAACATGCAGGGGCTCCTGCTGGAACCACGGCCTATATCCTTTCGAGTCTTAGCAATGTGAGGCAGGGAAGCGGCAGACCGCAGGGTACCCCGACCTGGATTCTGTCCTCGTCCAGATGGGGCCCGACCCTGGGTGCTACCCCCACGCCGGCCAGTACTATTTATGGTGTAGGTGCTCTCACTGCGACGCATGTGGCCACGTTGGCCCAAGCGCAGCTCTGAGAAGGACTGCAGCTCAGGCCGGGGCTGCATGGCTGAGGAGACTGACAGAGCCAGGGGCATGGCCAGGGATCGAGGCCAGGGGTACATCGGTGTCCCATCTTGGTCTGAGGGCTTCAGCCTATGGCCCAAGGATGAGGGACTGGCTGGTGGGCTGGGGGGTGCTTGTTCATACACCTGAGCCCCTGAGTCCAGCACCATCCTGGGGGTCACATCCAGCCTGGTCACTCCAACTCCCCACACTGTCGACTTCTGGGGACACAGAAGGGCATGTGGAGGCCAGCATGAGTGGGTGTGGCCTAAGGACTAGCAGGCCCTGTGATCCACAATTGCCCTTGCTGGGTCCCCATGGTTCTGAGTGGCTGCCCATTTCCTCCAGCAGGCTCACCCAAGTGAGCTGGACTAGGAGAAAGCAGAAGGAAGAGTCTTTCTTATATACCCATCAAGATGGTGATTCCTGGACCCTTACTCATAATTCTAATTCCTGTGCTCAGTGCCTACCCAGGCTGGAAGCTGGTACAGTACAGCCTCCACTGCTGGGTTGATAGGTGAGTGGGTCTCATTACCTTCTAACTGCCTTCTACCTATGGTATTTTTCAGTCCTACCCCTCCTCTCCCACCTCACCCCACCCACCTCCTCCAGCCCATTGGGCCTCAGTCAATCTGAATGCCTGCCTGCATGCCCTTTCCTTAAACTAGTCCCTCTACCTCCTGGAATGCTCTCTTCTCTGCTGGGCCATCTGTTAAAATCCAATTTACAATCAGCTTTTGGGGGGCAGAAGGAAACTTCAGCAAACCCAAGCCAATCCTTGGTCTGTCCCTTATCAGAGGGATCCTCCTAGTTAGTTGAGGAAGTCACCCCCAACTCTGTGCTAGGGCTCAGTCCAATCCAGAGACTGACTGAAGGCTCCAATCTCTGAACTCTGTTGCCCACTCAGGAACACAATTCCAGCATTTCTTTTCTCTCCTGTATCTCCTACATCATCAAACTCTTCCTCTCTGCTGGATTCTTTCCATCAGCATAAACACATGCTGTTATTTCTCTGTCTTAACCAAACAAAACAAAATCCTCACTTGATCCCACACTTCTCCAGCAATAGCCGTACTCTCTCTAGCTGCTCCTCACTGTAGTACAACATGTAAAAGTGTCATCTATACTCACTCTCCAATTCTTTCCTGTTCTCTCTTAAATTTTACTCCAATTAGGCTTTTCCCCTCAATTTCTATTGAAACTGAGTTGACCAAGGTCTTCAATGATCTTCATGCACTTGATACATGTTTCATCTTGGAAACATTTCTCCACCTGGCTCTCCAAATCTCCTACCTTTGTTCTTGCTCTTTCTTGCTGGTCGTCCCTGTCTTCCTGACCTCTTAACACTGTAATGCCCTAGGGCTTGGAAACAGCTATGGAAACTTCTTTCCTCCTTCTCCACTTATGCTCACTCCCTAAGTGATCGCATCCACTCTCATGGTTTTAAAACCACCAGCCTAAATTTCTTCCATAAACTTCAGACTAGTCTTGTCAGTTCTCAATTCAACATTACTGGAATGTAGAACAGGCGTCTCAAACTGAACACGTTCCCCGTTTGAAATGTCTTCCCTTCATATAACTGCATCTCGCTTTCCTCAAATTTCTACACAAATGTTACTAGAAAAGCCTCCCTAAAATACTCTATAAAATAGTAAACCTCCTCTCTCCTCTCCACCACAATCTCCCCTTCCCCACATTATTGTTCTCTGTAGCAGGTATCGCCATCTGAAGTACATTACATTTTCAGTTTTCTGTTTTCTCCTTCCGAATGTTCAGTGTCCCCAGAACCCAGAATAGTACCTGACCCAGAGCAGTTGCTCAAGAGCTCTTTTTCTTTTCAGAATTGAAATCATTCTTTCCATGCACTTTGCTTCCCCATCTAGATCTGATCCCCGCTCTCCACTTCTTTGCACCCTGCCTAGCAACCAGCTGATTGAAAATATTTCAGGCCTCAGGCTTCACTCCCCTCAACTAACTATATATTTTCCTGGACTCCTCACTCTACCTGGACAAGTCCCCGTCATCTCCCCTTCTTTCCTTCCACCTACCTCTTCGCAATTACCAGAATAAGCCTGTTTCTTTCATGTCTCAGGTCCTTCTGTCAAGAATGCCCTTCCAATGTTTCCATGGAGCAAACCTAACCATTTTTCAGGACTTGGGCTAGGCCTCACCTGAGGCTGTTACGGTGGTAGCCTAGGTCCGTGTCCTCCCACCATCCCCTGAACTCTCTGAGGGCAGGGACGCGTCTGATTCATCCGCATGACCCAAGCACCCGGCACTAGATGCAGAATGAATGAAAGATGGCTGGGGGAGGAACCCATACTGAAGGTGGAGTCTGGTGACAAATGAGAGGGTGTGGTCTGCGCCAATAGGAAACTCCGAGAGAGGAACGTGGAAGAGGAGCCAATGGGGATAGGGAGAGAGAAGAGGGGCGTGACCTGCAGCCAATAATCGGCAGGGGATGAGGCAAAGGGCGTGCCCAATGGAGGGCGGGACCAGAGGACAATGGAGAGGGGATTCCCTGGTAGGTAAGGCAGAGTCGCGTCGCGCGCCTTCTTGGCCTCTCAGGGGTAAAAGGGTTCTGTCCTCGTGCCGCACCCCCACCTGTTCGCTGTCCTTTTCGCCGCCGCTGTCGCCTGTCTGAAACACCGGTCGCCAGCCGCCCGGCCCGCGGGAGTTGACGCCGGGGACGCACGCACTCGGGCGCGCGCACGCTCACACGAAGGCGCGCGGATTCGCGTCAATCTCCGCGGCGGCGCGCGCCGGGGAACACAGCTAGGGGTGGAGCTAGGCAGGACAGAGTGGGTGCTGTCTTCCACCAGGTCACGTTCCTGGGCCGGGCATTGTCTTGAGCCCGCCCTCTCTACGAGGGTCAGACAGGTTTCAGGGCTTCAGGTGGTACCCCGCGATCGGAGTCAGGGCTGGGATGACAAGAGCTCACTGTCCCGGCGCGGACACGTGGAGATGTAGTCCGCATACGGTGGCGGAAACCCAGGTACTTGGTTGGGCAAGGATGCCGAAATAGGTGGGGCGCAGCCGGTATATCAGGACTGGAGCCAGGATACTTTAGGCGTGTCACTGTGTGTGGACCCCCTATTCTTCATGGACACTTTTATTTCATTTTCCTCCCTTCCCTAACACACACAATTCAGGCGTACGGGGCCGTGGCTTTATTCTGCGGGCAGTCGGGAGTCAGGCACAGGGCCCCGAGGGAAGGCAGGAGGATGGAGCAGGTGTAGGTGCTGGCACGAGGCTGAAGAGTGCGCGGCGACCTGCAGAGGGCGAGGGCTGCGGGCCAGCCTGCAGGGAGCTGAGTGCGGCCAGGCGCTGCTCTCTGGACACGTCCCCGCGCAGGTCCAAGAGGGCGGAGATGTGATCCTCGCTACAGGAGTACCACAGAGGTGCGTCAGCCCCGCCCCAGCCCTCCGAGGTCCCTCTTCCCTTCCCACTCCCGTCTTTGCACCTCACGTCGGGAAATTGTTGCCGCAGACCTGCCACCTCGAGGCCAAGCATCGTAGGGTCGTGGAGGTTTAGCAGTTTTCGCAGGGTGAGAAGCACCGGCGCGCATTGAAAGCTCTCCTCCAGGCCCTGAACACGTCGTGGTAGGTTTTGCGCCGGCCCTTGGTTCCCACCCAATCACTGAGACTTCCACCCATTTGCTCACCCAACAAGCTCTTACCAAATCGAGGAAAAGATCCCGGAGCTGGGCCGCATCGTGCAGCAGGCGCTCTGCTGCCTGGTTCCGCTCATCGGCATCACGGCACACTAGGCGGCCTTGCATTAGTGCACATAGGTACTGCAGCACCACGGTACGCTCTGCCTCGGCCAGCAGCAGCTGCGGGGAGGACAATCAGTTGGGTCCTGGACTCCTTTCTCATCGGTACTCCTTCCACCAGCCTTTCCCACAAAACGCACCTGGACCGTGGAATTCCGCACACGCCAGAAGTCCCGGCAGAAGTGCGCTGTCCGCTTACACACATTGTCCAGCAGCTCTGGGCTCAACAGCCACTGTCGCGAGGGCAGAGCCGCGAACAGGGGCTAGGGGAGGGGGCACAGAGACGGAACTAGAAGGAAGAACCAGACCTGGCATTCCTTGCAGAGACTCCCAAACGTATGCTGTATATCTCTTTCACCCTCATCCCCACCTGAAGCCTCACCTGGAGTTCCACCAGCAGTGCCTCCAATACCAGGCGGCAGATCCTCCTTTGCAAGTCTTCCAGAGCTGCCTCCACAGGAGCCAAGACCCCTGATGCCACCCCATCGGGCTGCAAGACGGACACGGAAGAGCTGGACCAACCAAAAGTACGGCTTCAGGACCAAGGCCAAGGCCCTCAAGGCCTTCTGTTGTCAAGTTGCTCGGGCGCCACCTAGTGGCGCAAGTGTGTGGCAGAAGTGGGCAGGAAGGGCGTTTGCCGCATTTCTGAAGGGCTTGGGTGTGGACTGACTGAGAAGCGTGGAGTGGTGGGCTCAGCGAGCTGGAAGGGACACGGCCCAGCCGGACTTGCCTCTAATTCACGGTGTGACCTTGAGCAAGTCAAGTTTTTGGATTTGTTTCCTCACACGTAAGAGGAGAGAGTTCATCCCAGTCAGGAGGGAGTAAAACTCAGCAACTTGTCTGCCCTCTCTATCCAGATCCCAAAGAACATAAGAACTAAGAGGAAGGGAATTTTTTTCTGCTTTGTTCACAGCTGTAATCCCAGACATTACCTGACAGAATAGAACTTGGTAAGAATACGTTGAAAAAATGACTACTTGAGACTATGTGCCAGGCACTGTGATAAGTACTTTACATCTGTTAACTCATGTGATTCTCAGAATGTCTCATTTATTACCTATATAATACTAATGAGAAAAGCCAGATTCAGAGAGATTAGGTAACTTGCCCAAGGTCACATAGCTAGTAATTAGAAGAACTGGGATTGGAACCCCAGGGCTATGTGAATCCAAAGTTCCTAATGGACTAGTGTGGCCTGGGTCCATACCTAATAAGTGTTCAGTCAGGGGTTAGTGAAGGTGGGGTTCTGTGGGGGCCTCCTGGTACCTGAGTGCTGATTGGTGGTTGAGGGCAGCCAGTAGGTAGGGCACATAATGAGGGGCCACTGCTTCCCCTCTGAGGTGGTCTCGGGAGAATCGTATCAGAGCATCGCTGAAGCTGCAAAGGGCAGAGGTGGCTTCTGTAACTGCTGTCACTCTGGCTCCCCAACAACCCTGTTCCTGGTATACTGGCCCCACCTCCAAGATACCCAAGGCCCTGTTTGAAGGCGACTTTTCCCACTGATGTGCCTTATTCACTCAGAGTCCCTTTGCACTGCCCTAGAAACAGGGCCAGGTGTTGGGGGTGGGTCAGTGCTTTGGCAGACCTCCTCAGGAATGCTCCGAGTTCTGACAGTGCCATGTCATGCACTCGCCGCTGCAGTGACTCACTGACCAGGCTGGTCAAGCGAACGTTCTCTTCCAGGATCTATAGGCAGGGATGGGCAGCTATCAGCAGAGTCCTAGTCCTGCCCTCCTCCCCTTTCCCTGTGGGGGTTGCCCACCACTTCCCACCCACCTGCAGCACGATGGCTGGCATTGGTGAGTGGTAGAAGCCAGATGGGTCTGTGTCGGGCTCCTTCTCCCGGCCCCATTCAGCTACTTCCCCATCTAGTGCCTTTTGCAGCCACTGCACCACACTTGCCTGGGGGAAGGGATGAGGGGGCAGCAGGATGTACCAGGGCACTGACCCTGCTAGAGGCAAGTAGATATCTGACTTTTCAGATACAGGCACACAGCTGGTAGCAGAACTTCTCCAGACCTGGGTCCCAACTACTCACCCGGACTTTGGACACAAATGTTGCCTCCAGCTGCTCGATATTCTCCAGGGTCAGGAGGGGCTCCAGCTGAGACACATCAGCCTCAGGCCCCAACTCCAGGCTCCCCATCATTTCTGGCCTGGTGATGGGTGGTCCAGTATCATACTGAGCCCTCAGCTTCTGATCCACCCACTTCCCATTGCCCCAAGGGCACTAACCCAGGGTACACACGCAACGCCCAGTGCAGCAAGGTGAAGGCATCAGCAGCTCCCAGCTCAGGACCTTTCAGAAATTGCTGCAGGCAGCGGCGCAGGCCACTGTGCAGAGTGTGGGCCCACAGCTGGACTACCTTGTAGTGCGGAGGGCAGCAGGGTGCTATTAGTGCCTCAGCTGTGGCCAACTCAGCTGGTAGAGCCACCTGCAGAGCCTCCAGCCACCCTGCTAGGGTCCCTGGCCCAGGCAGCAGAGGTGTCCCAAAGTGAACCCGCTCCAGACCCTCCTGTAGTGCCTGCAGACAGCGCTGTCGCCAGTCCCTGGGAGCCTGTTCCAGGGAAGTTGTGCGGCCAGTTTCCACTTCTGCCACACGCACAGCAGCCACCAGCAGGGCTGGGTCCTCCCGTGCCAGCTGCCCTGCAGCCCCTACAGCTGCCTCCACAGCATGGCCCAATGCCTCAGCCAGAGGGCCCAGCCCCTTGAAGATCGGCAACGCCAGGCCCCCCAGAGATGTCCATGTCTCTTCCCGCAGCTGTTCAAGCTCTCGAAGGCTCACGTATGCCTCCAAGAGCCGCTGGGCATCAATCAAGGTCTGTGTGTGTGCTACTGCAGATGGCACTAAAGAGGGAGAAGAGGAGATAGGCCTGGGTCGCAACATTCCCACCTGTGCAATAGGTACGAGATCGGATACAGAGGCCCTGGGGCTGGAGTGATGTGTAAAATATTTAATAACCAGTACAATAGAGCATTGGCCAATCTGAAAGGATTCAGGGAAGGTCCTCGAGGCCTGGTGGGCGAGGTGTAAACTCTTCAGCTAATGAAACATGAGAAAGGGATCCGGGAGGGAAGGCAGGGAGGAAATGGAGGACCATTCTAGTGGCTAGTCACCTACTCTGTTAGGGAAATAATTCTATTTAACAACTAGAATGGCCAGAGCCACTTGACTGGGTATCAGTCCTGACTCAGACATCCCATTCTCAGGAACCCTCAGAGTGAGCTAATTGTACCCTGCTTCATAGGCCATCTGAAGCCTGAGTTACTCTCTGGGAGGGTCCTGCTGTGTCCCTCCATGCACTCCCACTAGTGCCCCAGCCTTTTGATGGATATTTGTTGACTGACTGTTGGAGGGCTGAGGCCCAAGGCCTCTGCATACTCACCTGCCTGCAGCCGGGGCAGCAGCTGAGACAAGGCCTGGAGTTGCTTGTGCTGAGCAACCTGCTCTCGCAGGGGCTCTACGGTCTGTATAACCTCAGCCATGCCCTGGAGCAACCCATGGGCCTGGCCCAGGGCCTCACGGGCTTCCTGCACAGCCTCAAGGGCCTGGGCCAGCTGCCAAACACCAGTCTTCACGCCCTCCAGGTACGACTGTACCACTGACTGTGGGAGAGAGGCAGCTAGTGAGGCCTGGCCAGCCCTGCCTCCCACCCTCAGCAGCCTGACACCTACCTTCATGCGTGCTTCCAGGGAGCGGGTACGCTGCACCTCACGGCTACGGTACTGGCCCAGCCTGTCCAGCTGCTCTGGCCGGTAAAAGATGCCTGAGGCCCACTTGAGTGCTGCACCCCGGGCTAGCCGTTCCGCCCTCTCCTGCTCGGGCCACTCAGGCCCTAGACAGGAAGAGCCCAGACAGCCATGTCAGTAGGACAGAGCCTGAAGGAAGTGGCTGCCAAACCTGCTCCCCTTCTGGCTCTTCAGCCTGGCCCCCAGGGCAGTCCACCCCTCTCACTGGCCCATAGAGCTCCAGACAGACCTGGCAGGGAGGACCCAACCCCACCGTTCCCATATCCCTCTCCCAACCCACCAAAACAGGACTCATACCAGGGATAAGTGCCGGCTGCATTTCATTCTTGGCTGTTGAGTCCATGGCAGGCCCTGGAAGAGCCAGAGGAAGAGGGAGGTTCTTGCCCAGCCCCCTCAGGAAATGTGAGGGAGGAGGGGTGTGATGGGGAGTCATCTGGGAAGTTTTTCCTTGCTGGGTTTCTCGGTTTTGCCCCTGCAGATGCCAAGTGGGGCAGGGTAGGCACAGACCTCCATTGTACTCTGCTCCTGTTCTGCATTGAAGAGGACAGTTTGGTATGGAACTTACCAGGCTGGACCAGGCGTCCAGTTCTCCCTCCTCCGCAAATAGCCTTGGCCTTGAGGATGGCCCTCATAGCAGAGTTGGGCACTCCCTACACTGGCTCACAGGGCATGGGTGGCTCTGGCCCACACCTCAGCATGCAGCAGAATTCCACTTCCCAAGGAAGCTTCTGTCCCATTCCCCTGCCCAGGAGCCCCCTTCTCCCTCCAAGGTCCCTCCCTCCCCAAGGTTACATACAGAAAGGAAGGAAGCTGAATCTTTGGCGTTTTATTCTCCACAGGAAAGAGCATCTGCACTATGGGATGGGGTGGGGAGGGCTAGGTGCCACTTCCTTGGGGGGAGGGGAGTAGACTCCCTGTGATCACGGAGTCTTGACCAGTCCACCTAGGACCTTTTAGGGCTCAGGACACAGACATGAACTAGATGGCCCCAACCTGGAGTGGAGAGTAGAGCGGGCAAATATGGATGCAGAAAACAACATCACAATATGAAAACTGTAGATAGGCCTCTCAGAGGAGGCGGGTACTTCTGTAGAGGAGTGAGAGATCACAGGCTGTTGCGAAGAACCCATGTGGTGGGTGATAGCAGGAGAGGGGTCCAAGAGGTATGAAAGCTGTTTATCTTGAGAGTTAAAGGGGGCTATGGAAAGGACTACAGGGTAGTAATAATGTAATGGACACTGGCGAATCATCCAAATCCACCCTTCAGGACAAAGGCATCTGTTTCCCTAGCTGCCAGGAGTGTAGGCTGCTGAGATCTCACAGCTGAGTCTCTGGGTCACTGTTGGTGTACAAAGGCCCAGTACCCTTGGCTGGATGTGGAATGTCTTGGAAGGGACACCCATTTTGGAGCTCCTGGTAGAATGGGCTAAGGCCTCTATTATAACTGCTTCGCAGTTTAATTCCTTCTCTGTCCAATTCTGTTTGTCTTACTCCCTTACAAGTGTGGATCTTCAGTAAACTTCCTTCAGGCAAATCCCTGTTTCAATGTCTGTTTCCCAGAGAACATGACCTAAAATTAAAAATGTTAACAATAATAATGACACTGTTAAAAATAACAAAATGATACCAGCAAACATATAATTCTTCCTATATATCAGGAATTGCTCTAAGTGCTTTACTTATATTTAAACATTGGTAAGCATATTTGCATTGGCTGAAAAGTGGTTATAATTCCATGTCCTCTGAGCACTGCAGTGTGGTTACAAGAGAAAGATGAAGCTGGGATCAGGGAAGGGGAGTGGGAAAGGAGACAAGTGCATAAGCTAGATGCAATAAGTGCTTGCCGTTTGGCAGGAAGTGAGACAGAAAATAGCATGAGTGACCCCCAAGACAGTGGGGCAGCTTCTAGGAGCAGGATTAGGAAAACACATGGGGTTCATTAGGCGGCATGGTCTCCTCTCCTAAGATGAGGGCTGGGGCAGAGTTAGTGGAGTAGGGCAGGTTGGCCAGCCAGGAAGTTTCCAGTGGCTACCCCTTCTTTACTGCCGGGGCTGTCCACCGACTTCCTCCACATGCCTCCGCACCACGTCCTGTCGCACTACGTCCTGTCTCCCGGGATCCGCGGGTTGTTTTCGTTTTGTTTGGCGGTTGGACATTTGCTGATGGCCCCGAAGTTTTGCGGCCGTGCCCGCGGAGAGAAATTGCGCCAGGTTCCCTGGGAGAGCGTGGGGCGGAAGCGGAAGCAGCTACGCTGGCGCCGGCGGCTGGGCGGCCAAGAACGGAAGCGGAAGTGGCGGCGGCGCCGGCCTGGCCTGGCCTGGCTGAGGGGAGGCGGCGGGCGGGCGCGATGGCGGAGGCCGGGCCACAGGCGCCGCCGCCCCCGGGCACCCCAAGTCGGCACGAGAAGAGCTTGGGACTTCTCACTACCAAGTTCGTGTCGCTTCTGCAGGAGGCCAAGGATGGCGTGCTTGACCTCAAGCTGGTGCGGCCCGGGCTAAGGGGCGACATGGGGGATGGTGGACCAGGCCTGGGCCGGTAGCGGGAACCCCAGGGGCGGCCCAGCAGAGCCCTCAGAGAGCAGGCCGCCATCCGTGTGCTTTCTCACAGGAGGGAGGCCGAGAGCTGTTTCATTCATTCGGCCCAAGCAATTGGGTGTCAGATACATGCCAGTCTCGGGGCTGCAGGTGCTGATCCTCGTGGCCCTCCCTGCCTGGTGTGGGGAAAAGAGCATCAGAACATCAGTTCAGGCTGCGCCAGGCCTCTTCCCGCCCCGCGGTCCTGAGGTGCTGTAGTATTTGAGAGGAGGGTTGGGACCTAGTCCACCCCCTTTCCAGACTGCTCCGGACCAAGTTTCAAGGTAGCTGGAGGTACACCTGAGAGTGGGGCTGAGCATCCTCCACTCTGTTCTGTGTGCCAGGCAGCTGACACTCTAGCTGTGCGCCAGAAGCGGCGGATTTACGACATTACCAATGTGCTGGAAGGTATTGGGCTGATCGAGAAAAAATCCAAGAATAGCATCCAGTGGAAGTGAGTGGAGGCACCTGGGAGGGCAATGGGATCTCCAATCCAGACGTGTCGGGTTGGGGGTGGGTGGAGGGTGCAGGAGAGAGCAGGGGCCATGGGACCCAGAGTTTCTGGCAGCCCCTCTCAATCCCACTCCCTTGGCTCAGGGGCGTGGGGCCTGGCTGCAATACCCGGGAGATTGCAGACAAGCTGATCGAACTCAAGGCAGAGATCGAGGAGCTGCAGCAGCGAGAGCAAGAACTGGACCAGCACAAGGTGTGGGTGCAGCAGAGCATCCGGAACGTCACAGAGGACGTGCAGAACAGCTGATATCCTCCTGGCAGTCCCTGCTCCTGGGGTGTGGGCGAGGGGCACTCTAGTCCAGCTGGGTTTGCTCTGTGGTGCCCTCGGTTCAGTCCCATTTTGGAGGTTGGTCCTGTAGCCCCTGGCCAGGTCCCAGCCTTGTGGTCCCCTTTCAGAGCCCCTCCCCCACCAATTTTTGCCTCTGATCCCTCTTCAGGTAGACCCCAGGCCCCAGGACTTTCTCTGAGGGCTTGTGTGTCAGACCTCTGTTAAAGAGTTGGGTTTTCTCTGTGGTCTGCCACCTGTCTCTATAGGCAGGGCATCAGTCATTCTCCTTAACCCCCACACTTTGGCCTACGTGACTCATGAAGACATCTGCAGATGCTTTGCTGGTGAGCAGAGCCTGGGTCGGGGGAGATGGGAGTGGGGCTGGGTTGAGCTACAGCCCTGCGCAGTGAGCTCAGAGCCCAAGAAAAGTTCCATCTCTTAAGAGGGTTCCTGGGGCCTGCCCAAAGAGGAACCACGGGTAAGTACTGGATTTGAAGGTCACGGGGAGCCTGTGGAGGCCAACCATACTGAGGGTACAGTAATCCTGGGCCGGGTCCCTGGGTCAGCTCCCATCTGCACCATCCCCTGGCTTTGGCTTCTCAGGTGTGACAGGGACATAAGCGGGGGAGAATGTGCGTGCCCATGCATGCTTGTAAGCAGGGGTCAATTGAATTGTGGATACAGAAACTGTTTATTCTCCATCTTGCATCCCCATACTGGTCCTGGGGAAGGGATGTTGGCCTTGGCCAGAACACGTACAGCTGGGAAGCAGCACCATCTATTCAGGAGTGAGATGCCCATGACCTGCAGTCTTTCATTCTACATGTTTGAATCCAGATTTTCTGGTTACTGACCCCTGAGCTCTTGGAAGGAGAAAAGCTTTGGTTCTCAGCCCCAGCCGCTGTGGGGGTTGGGTGAGGCTTGCTGTCTAGCTCCCCAGAGACTGTGATGATCTTTGCTCCAATGGATGGGCACCCCCATTTCCAGCTCAAAATAAGCCCCTAGGCCCTGACCCATCTTCCTTGTTATTCTAGGAGACACCCTCCTGGCCATCCGGGCCCCGTCAGGCACCAGCCTGGAGGTGCCCATCCCAGAGGTGGGTGTTCAGCCCAGGCAGGAGGGGTTGGTTGAGGGCGGGTGCTGGCTGTGGAGCCTGATAAGTCCCGGGTGGGGCAGGTAGGTTGAGGCCCAGGGTTTGGGGTTATCTAGGAGAATGGGCAGCCTGGGGTGGGAAAAGACACTCTGGCCCTGGCCCAGGGTCAAGCAGGAGCCAGGCCTGCTTCCAGTTTCACCTGCCCTACACTCCCAGGGCCTCAATGGGCAGAAGAAGTACCAGATTCATTTGAAGAGTGTGAGTGGCCCCATCGAGGTGCTGCTGGTGAACAAGGAGGCATGGAGCTCACCACCCGTGGCAGTGCCTGTGCCACCACCTGAAGATCTGCTACAGAGCCCACCTACTGTCTCTACCCCTTCACCTCTGCCCAAACTTGCCGTGGCCCTGCCCCAGGATGCCTCACGCCCAAGCAGTCCCCAGGTGACCACCTCCACCTGTGTCCTCAGCAGTACCGAAGCCCAAGGGGTTGCTAGTCCAGCAGCTGAGATCGCAGGTAAGGCACGATGGGCTTCTGGTGATGGGGTGATCTCTGGGACCCAAGAGGCAATACTTCTTTGTTGTGGAATGCCTACTCCAAGGTGGAATAGACCCCATGGAATTGTCCTTTTCCTGGCCCCCCAGCGGGCCTCCCCTTGCTATGATAAGGGAATGCTTTTTAACAGAGAAGCGCTAACTGTGAACAGGCATTAGTGACAGTTTTTCCCCAGAGCCACCTGTGTCTCACTTGCCCTGGAAGCCCTTCTTGAAGTGTGGTCGCAGCAGACATGTCATCGATGAGTCTCCCTCTTACAGGTCTCATGTCCCTGTCTCCTTTAGTGCATTTCTAGGCTACCTCTTCAGGGATGACTAGCCTAACTCTCCTTGGGCCCAGGAACCAGGGCTATAGTCATCCTGGGTGTGGGTTCTAGCACGCCCAGCTTCAATATCGCACTGCCTGTCCCCAAGTGACTGGATTTGGGGCATGTGGTTGCAGTGAGTGGCGGCCCTGGAACTGATAGCAAGGACAGTGGTGAGCTCTGTTCACTCCCACTGGGCCCGACAGCACTGGACACCCGGCCACTGCAGTCCTCTGCTCTGCTGGACAGCAGCAGCAGTAGCAGCAGCAGCAGCAGCAGCAGCAGCAATAGCAGTTCATCTGGATCCAACCCTTCTACCTCCTTTGAGCCCATCAAGGCAGACCCCACAGGTGGTGAGTACTTGTCTCCTTGGGAGCAGAGAAAACTCAGCCTTAACCAGCAACAGAATTAGAGCTGGAACCCAGCTGTCCTATTTTCTTAGCCAGAGCTGGCTATTCCCTGCCATCAGCCCTGCTTTGACCAGAACTTTGCCAGCCAGGGTGAGGAGCCTGGCCTCCGACTCAGTGCTGGTGGCCCTTTGATCCCCCTTTCTGGGCTGACATAGAATTCCTTGGTCCTCTTTCAAGCCCTGGACTCAGGTCTCAGGAAGGCATAAGCACTCTCTTGGGGAAGGGGCTGTGGTATGTTCCTCAGGCTTCAAAGGTGGGCCGTACCTTCCCAGGAGAGGTGATGTTATCTGCCTGGTGTCTTCTCTCCATTCTGTGACTTGAGTGTTTTCTTCTTCCAGGACTCATTCTTTCCAGGACTCATTCTTCCCAGCCCACAAGCAGTGCTCTCTCCTCACAAAGTGACACTTTGTCCTCTGTGTCTCTCTCACCTTTCCTGTCTTCTCTTTATAGACTCTGGAAAAGTCATCTCCATTCCACAGGTTGCAGCAGTCAGGACCTCTGCACCCCACTCACTTCCATGCTCCATCAGTGCTGCTTTTGATAAGTCTCCCAGCCCTGCCTGCCATCTCCATCAGGTTTCTAGGCTGATGTGCTCTGGCATTCTCTTGTTCCCTATTGATGCTTTTTTCCTCCTTTGGCTTTAGTGATGCCAGCTCTTGGCTCTTCTCTATCACTGGTTTCCTTCCTGACCTCTCCCTGGTGTGCTTCCTTAAACACTGGCACTTTCCAGCTCTCTGTCTCATTCCACAACTGTGGAGGACCCCAGTTTTGGGTAGATGAGTCCCCAATTTCCTCTTTGCCTAGGTCTTTGTCTGAACTCCACATCTCTGTGTCCATATGCCTTCCTCTGCACATCCAATGGGCACTTCATTCCCACATGTCCTCAGCTGAAACTTGCTTTTCCACCTCTGTGCATACCCTGCCATTGGCCCTAGCCACCCAGGCCTAATACCTGGTGTCACTCCAATTCTGTCTCCTCTCCTGTTCCCCACTTAACATCAGCTAAGTGAGTTCTGTCCCAGACATCTCTTGTCCGTGGCCTCATATCCTCAACACTCAGGATCACTGCCAGCCACCTCTATCCTAAATTCTTTAGCATCGTCTTCTTTACCCCAACTGACAAGGATCTGTCTGAAACACAGCCTGACTGGCATTTCTCTGTTTACAAAAGTACCTTTAATGACTCCCTAAGGCTTGCTAGATAAAACCAGAGCCCCTAAACCTGGCATATGAAATCCCTCATGTTCCAGTCCCAGCATTCCTCCCCAGCTTCATTTTCCTCTGCTTCCCATTTGCATCCTCCTGGGCAGACCTTTGTAGCAGAGTTGTCACCTTGTAGCACTAGCCCCTGTCGAAATGTATGCCTTATCCTCTGCCAGGTGACCTGGCCCAGGGTGTGGTGTCTGAGCCTGGCACTGAGCAAGTGCTCACCAAGGGTGGGGATGGATAGGGCATCCTGCATCAGACAGGGTATGCACGCTGAGCCCAGAAAGGGAGAAGGTCTGCTTGCCCTTCTGTAGTGCTTCCAAGTTAGTGGAGCTGTTAACCAGTCACCTATAATGGGCCTTTGGTACCCTGGGCTAAGCAGTGAGAAATTTGGGTCTGCAAAGGAGACTGACAGACAAAGCTAGCTTGGCCTGCGCAGAGCTTTCATTTCTTCAGCTTTGTGGAGCCCCAGTGTAAGTACTATAGGATCTGAAGAAGTCAGAGGCTAGGGTGGGACCAGGCTTGACTTCAGTGCCCCTGAGTATGGCTTTTTTGTCTTTCAGTTTTGGAACTCCCCAAAGAGCTATCAGAAATCTTTGATCCCACACGAGGTAGGGCCTTGTTCCTCTTTGGGACTGGGGTAATGGGCACAGTTCATTGGGTCTTACAGATGTTTTCTTGCTCTTCTGAGGGCCCGTGTTTGCGCTTGGTACCTGGGCAAAGTTCCTGATGGGTGGGTGGGGGGTCCCCTTCATGGACTCTGGTGGGTGGAGAGGCGGGAGCCAGAATGTAACAGCTCTCCCTCCTTCCCCAGAGTGCATGAGCTCGGAGCTGCTGGAGGAACTGATGTCCTCAGAAGGTGGGTGGCCCAGAAAGGTGAGGGGTGGTTGGCTCAGGAGGGTAGGGCCTGGATGTGGGCAGAGGGTTGGGTGGGGCCTTGGCCCCAGGCCTTAGCCTGGTGTTCTCTGCAGTGTTTGCCCCCCTTCTCCGCCTTTCTCCACCCCCTGGAGACCACGATTACATCTACAACCTGGATGAGAGTGAAGGTGTCTGTGACCTCTTTGATGTGCCTGTTCTCAACCTCTGACTGATGGGGACATGCCCTGTGTGGCTAGGACACAGACTGTCTAACCTGAGGGCTGCCTGGGGTCCTCCCTCCACCCTACTCCTACACAGCTTGAGAGCTGCAGCCTCCTGGCTTCCCCAGCCCTCCTTCACTGCACAGTTTTGGCCACAATCCCTGCTCCTGTATTGACACCTGTACAGTGCTGGGAGAGCAGGGGAAAGGAGCTCAGTTCTCTCCATGGTGGAGCCAGAATATTTGCTTTTCTGGGGCCTTCCCTTACCTCGTGTTCTCCCCAAGCCCAGTCTCGGCTGCTACCTAATGTCACAGAACGAGGACCCTCATTCACTCCATAGGGCAGCTTGTCTAACTCCACTGCCCTGTTCCTGCCAGGCCTTCCCCCTCACTTCTCCCCACCCCTTGACCCTACAGCTCCTGGACCTCTTGTGTGCCCCCCTTCTGCCAGTCCTTTAGCCCTGAGAACCTGTAGGTGGTGGTGGGGGTGGGTGCTTACAGGAAGGAAGAGAAGTCTCTGTAGCTAGGAATCTGGGCAGGGGCATCCCTGAGGATTGGCCCAACCTCCTGCTGCCCCATAGCCCACCTCGTTTATTCATTTATCCTCATTTAGAGCCATTTGCAGAGGTTTAGAAAGATTTGCAGTAACGAATGGATTCCTATATAAAGATTATTTTTATACTTTTTGCAGCAAAAGGAAGTTGTAATATTTGTACAGTGTCCAAGTGAATAAAGATCGTGCCTAAGGCTATCTTTGGTCTGATTCTTTCGGGGCCCCTCCCTGGGACCTTGCTGGATTGGTGGTAGGACCGGGTAGATGGATAACCTTGCTGGGACAGGAGGTGTGGCGCTGACAGCCGGCCCTCTCCGCCCCCACCTGCCGCACCTTGGGCGGGGCGGGGCCACCTCTTCAGGGCGGGGCACGGCAGGGCAGGGCAGGCGAGTCCCTCCTACCCCCAGATTCCAACCCGGAACTAGCCTGGAACTAACCTCCGCTCCCTTGGGAAGGCCGCGGCGCCTGGCCAGGAGTGGTAGCCTGGGCCGTAAGTGTGGGCCACGGGGATCAGGGGGCGGACAGAGGGACCCCTTATCCCCAGGGGCTTCAGACCAGCTGCGCGTTCATTAGGAGGTTGCACAGTTTGGAAGGTATAGGCGCCCGGCTCAGCTGGACCATGGCGCCCCCGCGGGACGTGGTGAAGATCGCCGTCCAGATGCGTGACGCCATCCCGCAGCTCATCCAGCTGGACCAGGTCACCCAGCCTCTCCCACCGACATCCACCCCACCGCTCACCTATGGGTCTCCCCCTTCCCCTCGGAACAGCCCACCCCACCCCTTCCCCAGGTTCTTCCCCAACTTCGTCCCTCTCCCCGCCCAGTGAATGACCTCTCCACTTGCAGGCAAAGCCCCTGGCCGCTGTGGTGAAGGAGGTGTGCGATGCGTGAGTGCGGGCCAACAGGCCATCGGGTGGGGAAAGGGCAAGAGCGGGGGGCACCCCCCTATATGCCTCACTGAGCCTCCTCTGCCTGCAGGTGGAGCCTGGCTCACTCTGAGCGCTATGCCCTGCAGTTTGCTGATGGGCACGGAAGATACATCACTGAGAATGTGAGTCCCCTTCCCCCCTTGGCCCCTTCTAATTCCTGATTCCTGGCCCTGATTGCTCAGACTCCTCATCCCACTGGAATGTGATCTTTCACCGAGTTCCAAATCCTTCCTCAATGACAACCCCAATGAACCAGTCCTCTGAACCCTTCTTGACTTCTCTTCCTTTTCTACTGTCTTCTCCAGAACCGCACGGAAATCAAGAATGGCAGCATCCTGTGCCTGAGCACTGCCCCAGTAATACCCCTTCTGGCCCCACCCTCATTTCCTGCCCTTCTGTGCCTCCTTTCTGCCTCCCTTTGCCTCTGCCCCATGTCTGGAGGCCCCAGCCACATCCCTGCAGTGCTCCACCTATTGGATACTGGTGTTCCCACACCTCTAGCTCCCACTCCTTGCTTCTACCCAGCCTCCTCACCTTTGTTTCTGCTCCCGCCCCTGCCAGGACCTTGAGGCTGAGCAGCTGTTGGGTGGGCTGCAGAGTGGGAGTCATGAAGGGCGTCGGGAAGCCCTGCGACACTTCGTCCTGCTGGCCCCAGACATGACCTTTGCCCAGGAGGTCATCAGCCGTGATGGGCTTCAGAGATTAGGCATCATCATTGAGGATGGGGATGAGTGAGCACCGGGCTGTGGTGGGTCATGGACATGGTGGGGCTGGGGTCCTGATCTGCCCCTGCTCAGCCCCAGATGTCCCCCCAGCCTAGGGGAGGTACTGGCCCTTGCACTGAAGGCCTTCTTGGAGCTCATGGAACATGGCGTGGTGTCCTGGGAGACGCTCAGCATCCCCTTTGTTAGGAAGGTGGGTGGGCTTTTCTAGGGCAGCAGGTTGGGGCAGTGGGGTGGTATCAGGATCTGACCATCCATGGTGGTCAGGTGGTAAGGTGATAATCCCTATCCTACCTACAGGTGGTATGCTATGTGAACATGAACCTGATGGATGCATCTGTGCAGCCCCTGGCCCTCGGGCTACTGGAAAGTGTGACCTTGAGCAGCCCTGCCCTGGGCCAGCTGGTCAAGAGTGAGGTGCCACTGGATAGGCTGCTGGTACACCTACAGGTGTAAGTGTCTGGGGATAGGGTATACATGAGGGTGGTAGAGCCAGATTCTAGATGGCCAGCTGAGCCCTCCTCTTACCTAAGGATGAACCAGCAGCTGCAAACCAAGGCCATGGCTCTGTTGACAGCCTTGCTACAGGGGGCCAGCCCTACTGAACGCAAGGTGGGTGTCCATCTGGTGGCTGGATGGGGGGCAGGAGCTGGTGGGCACTGTGATCCACTCTGGGCCTACAGTGGGTGCTCATGGTGGGGCTAAATCATCTATGCCCCCTTCTCACCCACCTTAGCACATGCTTGACTACCTGTGGCAGAGAAACCTTCGCCAATTCATCTATAAGGTAGGAAGGACCAAACCAGGCAGATCCCCACCCCCACTCTTCCTCTCCCTGTGAGTGCATACTCACAACCATGGACTGGCTGTCCTCCAGAACATCATTCATAGTGCAGCGCCACTGGGCGACGAGATGGCTCACCACTTGTATGTACTGCAGTCCCTTACACTGGGACTGCTGGAGCCACGCATGAGGACACCACTGGACCCCTACAGCCAGGTGGGTGCCTTTGGAGTACACAAGGCTGGGGACAGCTGAAACTTGGCCTTGAATCTGTGGTCATGACAATCCCTCCAATGACCCCAGGAGCAGCGGGAACAGCTGCAGGCCCTGCGCCAGGCTGCCTTTGAGCCAGAAGGGGAGTCCCTTGGTGCTGGGCTGAATGCTGACCGTCGCCGTTCTCTCTGTGCCCGCGAGTTCCGCAAGCTGGGCTTCTCCGTGAGTGACCGCTACCCAGCTCCCCACCCCGCCTCATCCCAGGGCTGCTGTTGTTCCAGAGGGCTAAGGCCCTTCCTTAGCAGCCCGTTTCCCCTCCCCCAGAACAGCAACCCTGCGCAGGACCTAGAGCATGTGCCCCCTGGCCTGCTGGCCCTGGACAACATGCTCTACTTCTCCAGACATGCACCTAGTGCCTATAGCCGGGTAAGTGATGGGACAGGGTGGGTAGCCATCTAGGCAGGGTTCCAATGGGCTTAGTTGTGACTCCCTGCCTCATTCTCTGCTCCCACCACCCCAGTTTGTGTTGGAGAACAGCAGCCGTGAGGACAAGCATGAGTGCCCCTTTGCCCGGAGCAGCATCCAACTGACGGTGCTGCTGTGTGAGCTACTCCGAGTTGGGGAGCCCTGTGAGTGGGACTGGGCAGTGTGTCCGGGAACGGGGGACGGAAGGGCAGAGAGGGCCAGGGGCTGCACATACTTTCTCCCTGAGCCCCTCCTGCCCCCCTGCTCCAGGCTCCGAAACGGCCCAGGACTTTTCACCCATGTTCTTCGGCCAAGACCAGAGCTTCCACGAGCTCTTCTGTGTGAGCATCCAGCTACTTAATAAGACATGGAAGGAGATGCGGGCCACACAGGAGGACTTTGACAAGGTGGGTGGGAGCTGGGAGACTTGGGCCAGGGCAGGGGGCTGTGTTGGATAGGGGCCCAGAGCTCAAGCCTTAAGCTGAGCTTGGGTTGGCTCCAGGTCATGCAAGTGGTCCGAGAGCAGCTGGCCCGTACGCTGGCCCTGAAACCTAGCTCTCTGGAGCTCT